TCCTCCGTTGAAGCCATGACTGAAACTGTGAGAAATGAAGGAATTTGTCACAAGCAAATTAAAATCAGTCCCAGTGTGGCTGCGGGAGGGTTTGGAGATTTCCTGTTGGGCTGGTCTGATGTGTGGGCTGCAGGGCCAACGCTCCGTTATTTTTTTGAGAACGTTTTATTAACAACATATAAACACAGAACACTGCTGCGGCTGGGGCTGCCAGCTCTCGTTTTCTTTTTTTTGACCTGTCAATCAATCCAGTAGGCGTGTCAGCAAATGACCAATCGGCGACCTCAATTTGTCCCTAAGGTAAACGCACCTCGTCTGTGAAGCTGCTCTGCAGCCACTCAGGGTGTGCGCTTGAGTATGAAGTCTCAACCCTCCGCGTACGTAAGCGCGTACCTCCGCACAGACGTACGTACGCAGGAGTATACTGGGGGCTTAAGACCACTTCTCGGCCAACACAACAACAACTACCTTTGAGACCCTCCCTTCCGTGTCAGCTTTACCTGATTTTAGAAGGGGGAGTTGCCTATGCAAGTTGTATCCAATCAATGCAAACTTACCACCTTATCTTGGTGTAAACCAAGCTGCATAAATTAATTTTGATTATATAACCTCACCACTCAAAGTTTAGAAGAAAATAATGACTTATTTGTTAATGTAGTATGACATAATCTGGATATGTTCATACATTTTTCACGAGTTCCTCATCTTTCTGACTGTGTAAGTCGTGCGTTGAGTTTAACAAAAATGTAACGAGAGAGACGTTAATTATCTTTGACCCATCAAATGAATGCGGTCATTTATTTGCAGAATCAAAGTTTAACATCAAACATTTACATTAATTTGGCAAAATATGAAAACAATAACAATGTATGAAGTTCACAGAAAGTGGACAATACGGCGATTGTCCTCACTTCTCAGCAGAACCACAGACATCAATCACACGGCGGTGATTGAGAACTTTGCTTCAGATATTTCTAAAATATCTATAATGATTTTAGGAGAAAGGAGAGTTTAAGATGGAAAATGGAGATTTATCTTACAGAGAGATGTATGAGGGAATTAATCTGTTTGACCAGAAACGTGCACGCTCTTTGGGGGATCAGCTTGGCCACGGTACACTTGGTCGAAAATAGAACCTTCTACCTGGTTGATGATAAAATCAGCGTCGGCGTAGGGTTCCTTTCTGACTCTTTCAGCGTCTCCATGAGGACTGCCAAACCCTTAGAGAGTCGTGCGAGGTTATCCAAACAGAAGTTGTAACTCCCAAAATCCTCTCTGCATCCTGTCTCGTCAGAATTCTGAACTCCTTCAGAACTCTCTTCAGAGAGTTAAACTCTGGAACTCTTTACTCCTTAACTCTGTTACTCTCATGTTGAACTCATTCCTGAGCGCAGCAGCTCTGAACTGGGAAGTTGCCACATTTTAAATGGGTCGACTTCCGGGTCATTTGAGAGCTTTTTGATTGGTCGATGGACCAGAAAAGAGGTGTGGTTTGTGATGTAAGGTGTTATCACAGTCAAGGGCAGAGAATGAGATTGTTTAAAAACAGACAGAAAGATTATTGGAGAAAACCAGACTTCGTGGAGTCAAACTCTCCTGTATCTTCTGTGAAGATTAAACTTGACATTTCTTCTCAGTAAACATTTTAGTTGACCGAAACCTGACTTTTAACATACTTACAAATTTGCTCATTGAAGACAGAAAAATCAAGAAATGCATATTACCCTGATTTCTTCTTTGAATGAGGAATAAAAATCATTACTTACTGTTTATGTAAATAAAATGAGTAGTTCTCTTCAACCTGTAAACATTGAGTGAACTAACAGAATTTGATTATCAAACATTTGTAAAATAGTAATGATCATAGAGAATTGTCTTTTCTACTTGATTAATTCAAGAAAGAAAGTCTCCAGATAGCTCAAACTGTATTTCTGGATGTAGATCAATGAAATAACAGTTTCTGTCCATCCGGTCAGTTTTGACATAGGCCTAGTCCACTACAGTCCCCCCTTTGGAAATCATTGCCTGTCCATGGGGATGAATTCCAACCGTGAACTTACGCCTTCAAATGTCCTTGAGCTTGATGTAATCCAGCAAGGAAGACCAAAGTCAAAAGTAATCCAGCAAGGAAGACCAAAGTCAGAAGTAATCCAGCAAGGAAAACAAAATCAAGGTAATTCCACAATGTTCATGGTAATTCCATTGTGTTGATGATAATTCCATAATGTTGTTGGTAATTCCATGGTAGCAATGCTTTAACCCCTTGGAAACAGAGTCTGTAATCCATTGGAAAAAGTCATATAATCCACAACGGTAAATCCACAACGATTGGAAGTGTTGATTAGTCAGCATACAGAGGGGTGCCCTTGGGTTGAACTGAAGAAGCGGCCACTGGATGAAGAGTGGAGACCAACGTCAGGATTGCAGGTCGCCTCCAGCGAAGGTTGTCTCCAGCGACGACCAGCCTGTGCCGTTCTGGTTCAATGTGTCATGCAATTATGTGGTTTAAGGTGGGCTTATGAAGGGGATTTTACATAAGGCCTTAAACTATATGCACCTGGTGTGTAAGCTATTATGGTTAGGAACAGCTACAACTACCAGTTAAGGGGTGGAAAATGCTGAAAAGGCTAACTACAGGGGTTTATGCCTATAGAAAAGTGTTCCAAACTATTTTTCCATTTCTAACTTGGTTTAAGTTAGCTTTACA